ATACAATTGTATAAGTCAATAAATAAATAAATATTTTTTCAAAATCATAATGTGGAAAAAATCAAAATTTAACGAATTTCTATTGTTAATTTTTAATTATAGCTTAGAATAAATTATTAAAAAACTTTACATTAAAACGAGCTAAATGTAATTGTTTAGTCTGATTCAATCATTTCAAATTGTTCACTCATATCTCAAGGCTAAATCCCTTTTTTGAATACTACGTATTTCTTTATTAAGTACAATTAAGTATTACTATTTCATATAAGTACATGTGTTGGTATTTAATTTAAATATAGATAAATTATGATTTATTTAACTTTTTAAATCTTAAGTATTATTTGTAGGAAAATTGTTCACAGTAAAAATTCTCAAATAATGTCAAGGAATAGTCATGGACATAGAGCATCATAACGCTGTACTCGCAATAAATTTATACTATCATTTTATTATTTTTTTCTATATAAGTATCCTTGTAATTATTTAGCAGTGAAAACTAATTAGGTTTAACATAATAATATTTATATTCATAAAGACAAGAATTTAATTTTTTATAGATCAAAAAGAAACTTCTCTGAATAATTTATTATGGTTGGAATAATATGGTAATTTAAAGCTAGTTAGCATTAGTAGTTGAGTTTGTGTATCATAATTTAATAGTAAATAAAAGTTTTTTCTCGTATACAATTATTTTTAATATAATAATAACTTTCTTTTAGTACATGGTTTACTAATTTTATTTATTTATATAACTGCGTTATCGATAGTTGCAATAATTATAATTGTTAAGTAAACTATAATTATGCTTGTATTACAAAACAAAAGTAATAAAAATTTGTATTTTCTTTTTAAGATTTTTAAACAATTTATATAATTTATAAATTATATATAATAAAAGTTTAATAAAAATAATATTGAAACATTTAAAAAAACGATTGTCAAACAAAATTATCCAATAAACAAATAATTTATGAAATGATAAAATGTACTTTAAGCGTTTTTCAATTTGTGTTAAATTGTGTTTAAAAATAACAGGAATTGTTTATATATTCCTGGTATTATTTTAAATAATGTTATTAAATTACACTAATTAAACACAACCATTTTTATAAAAATTATAAGATTCTCTAATAACAATAATATATATTTATACATATTATCTATACCTTCGTCAACTCTTTAGCCTTTTAGTGTTAGTAAATACAATGTAAAAAATCATTTCATTAAATTATTATAATGTTGCTGTTTTATTGTGTTATCAAGAATTATAATAGGAATTTTTAAGTTAAAATTTTTGAAATAACCAAAACAAATGTCCCCTATTAAAATGATTAATGATTAACTGTAAAAGTATTTTTTTTTTAACATTTTAATAGCCAAACACATAATTACACATAGCATTATTTTTATTTCAAACCACTTAAAGTAAAATAGATGATTGTATTAATAAGTTAGAAATGCTACACAATACGCACTAAAGATTTGGGTCGTATGTAATTTATAAAATTATTTAAAAGTTTTTCTTTACTATGTATATAGTCAAACTTTTAATTAAAAGATGTATTATTAAACTTAGGTAATATTATTAACAATTATAATTTATAATTAGCTGTTAGAAACTCGTACGAAGAAGTCTAATATAATTAATAAAATTAATAAATGTATAATTATAAAAAAATACTAGACCCATGCACAGTGAATAAAAATTTAAAAAAGGGATAACATTTATACATTTGTACACAATGAATTTAAATGAAATTATTATTTAAAATTTGAAAACAAATATTTTGTAGTTTCTAATACAGAATCAGTGGTGAACAAATGGGAAGATATTAAGTGGATAGATCACCAAACAATATTTACATATTCTGTATAATTTCATAAAATTGTCACGATATTAAAATTTATATACTTATACATTCAATTTAAAAGTTATTGAGCATAACTATATGAATAAATTAATCTTATAAATTTTTAAGTCTTATATTATTAATCACATACAATAATAATTAAATGTTATTGTGGTCAAGACATTAAAGGATATAGTATTAAAATAATAAAAAAACCTAAACAAGTCAATACTATAACCAAAATGTTGAAGTTTGTAAGAAAGCTAGAAGTACATTGACCGTACACAATTAGATATTTATATACATAATTAACAAACACTTTGAGTCTACAAGTAATATTACAAAATAAAACGAGATTCATATTAACATAGTACAAAGCTTAATACAAATATTATATTATTATACAAATATTTCTTAAATCAAAATTTAACTAAATAAAATAAAATATTTATTAGCTGTAGGATATTTAATTTGATATTACTTTTATATCTAATATGTTTTTCTAAATTAAGATTAAAAATAAATTTTAAAATATCATGCAAATATAAACCATTAATATTCTTGATATTTTAAAGTTAATATAAATCATTAAACATGAAATTGATAGAATATATTTAAATTTAGAACATATATTTAAAATAAATCTTAATAAGAAGTTTATGATCGTTAAACTCTTCAATTTTACTCTAGCAGCATTACCCTAAATAATGATACCATATATAATAATTGACTATACTACAGCCAAGTATATAGTTTTTAAACCATTGAGACTTACAATACCTTTTAATACCTTAAAATTGTTTTAAAATTTTCTAATGATAATCAAATTTTTCAAATGTATCTCCCACCTCAAAAAAAGCCTAAATATTTAATAAAATCCACATTTTTTAAAATGTTATAAACCATATATTATAATTAACATTACATTTACTTAAATAAATGAACAATGGTGATTCAGTTACTGCATAATTAATTTTACTATAATATTTAAAAAATAGATTTATTAGAAATCGATGCCATAAAGTTATTGTCAAAACATATTTTTAGATGATTAAGCACAATTAAAACTATTATATACTAAACTAATTGTATCTCCTTCATTCAATTAATACTAACGCACCATCAACAATAGAAACTCAATTAGCTTCCAAATTCAGTCCAAAAATACAATTCGTATAAATTAAAAATAACAGTAGCACTAATACCGTATCTTGCGGAACTTCACGCTGAGCAACATAGTTACATCATAACTTAACAGATTCCGTTTTGTCATTTAAATAAGATACAAATAATTTTAATACATTAACTCTGATACCAGTATAGTAAAGTTTTTTTATTGAATGTTTATAATTAAACGAGTCAAAGGTTTTTTTTTAACGTTTATTAATTCCAGTTTTTAAGAGTGATAAAATATTAAATTTCTAGGAAAAACACCATTTTTTAAGGTTTATTAAAAATTATAAAAACAGGTATAGACATAATTTTTACAGTCTTTTTAAAAATTAAAAAAATTGACCATTCAATATTCAAAACAAGCACAATTATCATTTAATTTATACACATACTTTGATTTCAAAAGCAGATTTATACAATAAAAACTTTTCGTGATGTTTTCAAATGTGCCATTAAACTTTTTCTTTTACTTCTAAGTGTTAATATTATTACTTATTGCTTGAAGTGCTTGAGGATATATCCATGTTTACAGTTGAGTCCGAAACGTCAGAACTCAACTGTAAACATGGATATATCCTCAAGCACTTCAAACAACAAAACAATCCATGAAAGTTTTAACACATTCATTATTACTTATTATTAAAAAATAAGTATTTGTATAAAAAAAAAACCCAGCACAGGGGGTTGAGGCACAGTGGTGCCGTGGTATAGTTGGATCAAGTATAATGATATCTGACAGTGATTAAAATCACTATAAAAAAAAAACGCTTCGATGCAAATCTTTAGATAGTTTTTAATTTTAAAAAATTGGTGGATTATTCCAAAAGCTACATGATCTGCTAGTTCCTTATTAATATCTTGATTAAGATAAAGTATGTCGAATGAAAAAGGGATTATTAAAAAATATTATTTCTCATAAAAAAATTGTGTTGATCCATACACTTTTCAATAAGTTATAGCATTATAAAATTAAAAATGTAAAATAAAAAATCGAAAATTTTCACACAGAAATAGCATTCGGTAGCCATTTTCACCGTGAAGACAAAATAAAGTCCGAAATTTTTTTTTCCATAATAAAGTACATTACATTAGCTTTAATTTAAGATATATATCAAAGTATCAGTTTCCGGAACATTTTCAAAAGTCAAGTTGAAAAAATTAATTTTTTGTGAAAAAGTTATTTTAAATCCCCTCCAATGAGCAGGTTAAGTGATAAATTTTCAAAAAAATGATATCAAATGAAAGGGAAATATCTAAGGTTTTAGTATAAAAAAAAATTATGTTGATTTGTTGATTTTTGGAAAAGTTATGGAAGTTTTAAGAAAAAAAAGTAAAAAAAAATGACAGAATTTATCGATTTTTAAATTTGTTATTTTTTTGTATATTTCCCCCATTTTCGGAGAACGAGGGAATTTTTTCAATTTTTAAGAAAATGTCTTCAAATAAATACGATTTGTGATTTCTGGACGTATTTTTGAAAGAAATCGGTCTAGTGAGAGCTGAGAAAAAGTGGCAACAGACATAAAAAAAAAACACATCATAGTAAAACCAATACCTTCTCAGTTTCGCATCGAAGCTAAAATCTTTAGGCTGAATGAACAAAACATCCACAAAGATGTTTTTTTATAGAAAGGGTTTTTATTTCTTCTAATAGTAAAATCATTTAACCACCAAATTTGCCTCTAGATTTTAATTTGTTTATAGTTATTTTTATAAAATTGTGTTATATTAAAGTAAATACTTTACATTCTAGCTCTTCTTATAAAAATGTGTTAATTTCCATTGTTTACAAACTTGGTTGATTTAAAAAAAGAAATTATAAAATATGGTCTAATCAATTATTTATTGAGCAGAGATATTTGATTTTGTGGACAGTATATAATTTTTTAAACATTAAGTTATTTTTAGAAATAATACCTTTTGTATTTTTAAATAATTTATATATACTTGTACAGTTTTGTTTTTCTTATTTTTCAGAGAAAAACGTTTACCTATGGCAAGGTGAAAATAGTTCAATTTAAAGCCATGACCAATACTTTGTCAAAGAAACCATCCCATTTAGACGGAATACTCCTCCGTCATTACATGGGAGGTTTGCACAAGCGGTAGCACAAGTTAAATTAAAATAGGTATAATTATTAAAATTGTGAATTTCATTTTTCTTTAAAATTTTTTTTATAGAAAAGTATTAATATTCTAAGTTACAGTGGCATACTTTGGTATAATTTTATAGGCTCCTCACAATTTTTAATTTTTTTGTGCGATACAGTAGACGTTTCTGAATCTTCCACTCCTCAATACTATATAAATTTATTTATATTTCATAGTATACAAAACACGAATAATGCTCTAAAAAAATTTCTTACTTCACTAGCGTTCTTCATACATTTTTGGCTCAAAAAATACATAATAATTAAATAGTTACAACAAATATCCCACTTTACTATTTATAAAATTTATAATTTCAAGAGAAAATATCTATATTCAAATCATACATTTTGACACGGTAGTATGTGTCCTTCAGTTGCACATCAACCTATATAGAAGTGTATCAAAATCTGAATCACAATTATACGGTGGCCAAATGGCATGGTTTGTCTTTACGACGCCTTAAGTCGCGGGATTTAATACTGTACTGTGCCTCTTCATTTCAAATTATTTCACATACTCTATCGATTACTGTCCATCAATCCCCGAAGGCTGTATCAATGTATACCCTTTTTTTTTTTAAATAAATCACGTATGAAATTCTAAGTTACAATTTATTTCTGACTTAATTATAACAGCTGAATCTATGTGTATAAAAATATAAGGATCTCAAAAGTATACTTTTAATACACTATCATTTAGTCAAAAGTCGCAAGTTGACCCTTTGCAAATTCATAGTTACGCCACTATAAAGTTATAAAGTTTTGTTACTTAATTAAATCGGTAAATGATCAAAAAATATATTACAGGCATGGCAGCTTTTATTGGTATAGGAGTGATGAGGCAATTGCTATTTCGTCTAATATTTTGGGCTGCAATATTGTTATGTTTTACGCAGCTATTGATAACTTTTTGGAAATCTGACAAGTCGATAGCTATTAAATCTGGAACTGCCAACGCCGGTATGTTATTCCAAAATTACATGTTAGATATTCATGGTGTTCGGACCACAACGCCACCTTATGAAAGTCTCCTGACATTAGAACCTTGGATAGATAAGTTATCGTTGCAGTCTGAACAACTTATCATGGATCAGGTGCAAAAACGATTGCCCAATTTACCGGTTAGTTATTGGAATCAAAATAAAAATAAAGCCATGTTCTACAAAAACGAAAGTTGCGCAAAATTTCCTAGCATTTACGATCTTGAATTCAATAACGTTTACTGGCAATCACTGCAAACATCTAACGGAACATTCTACTTATACAGCGCTTATTATGATGTTCGAAAACTAAGTAAAATTGGACCAGCCATTCGGATACTAGGAATGATTAATAGAATTGAACCCGTAGTGAAGACCCATTGCCAATTGTGGTTTGATGGGCTTAGACAACCAGTAATTGTCAAGACAATGGAGTACAAATACATATGGTATAAAAAATGGGGTAACTATAAGCAAGGTATATTCCAACCATACCTGATTGCTTGTCAGATACCTAAATCACACCATCGAATGGTACCCGCTTCAGTGTCATTAGTGGAAAATGTGTGTGATAAAGCTACAAACAATTTACGAGTGGTCTACGATCGTCAAACTACTAAGAAGGGATTTGCAGTGTGCGTTAAGGGACTAGACTTTTTATACGAGGATTTGTCTGTTAGGCTTATCGAGTGGATTGAACTTCTGCACTTGCTTGGTGCTGAAAAAATATTTTTTTATCAATTACAAGTCCATCCCAACATTAGTAAAGTTTTAAATTATTATGAAACTACCGGAAAAGTACACGTGACACCACTGACATTACCTGGTGGTCAACCAAACGTGCCTGGGTTTCAACATCTTTACCTCACTAAAAAAGTGAACCACAAGCGACAGAACGAACTTATACCATACAACGACTGCCTATACAGAAATCTGTACACGTATGAATACATTGCTTTACTTGACATTGATGAAGTTATAATGCCTCTTAAATCAACAACGTGGAGACAATTGATGAATACAGTACTTCCAAAAGCATTAGCTATCCGCAACGAAACTAGGGCATCATACAATGTTCGCAATGTATACTTTCTTGACGATCTCATACATACACATGGTTGGTTTAAAACTATACCTAAGTACATGCATATGATGCAGCACGTGTATCGTAGTAAGAACTACACAAAGCCTAATCAATATGTTAAATGCTTTCATAACCCTGAACGGGCGCTCACTTTACATAATCACTTCCCACTGGCGTGTTTAAGTCAGGGTTGCACTTCTTACGCTATAGAGACTTCCGATGCTCAGCTTCAACACTATCGAGCTGATTGTGTTAAGACGCTTAAAAAGACTTGTACTGAATTTCGTCAAAATAGTGTCATTGATACTACCATATGGAGGTACAAAAACAAGCTAGTTTCGAGAGTTTCCAATACTTTATCGTCATTGGGTTTTTTCCCTGCAGTATGATTCACTATATTCACATACATTCATTTGAATCAATAAAACGAATGTAATACATTACTGTGACTTTTTGAAAATAAAAACATAAAGGTTATTAAAATTAATTAATAAAAATTAAAGTCTGAAATGTTTGTGATAAAGTTACTGCTCATAACTTCAAAATATAGTTCAAAATTATAAAAACTAATAATTACTAATCAAAAGCTTTTTAAGCGATAGTCATAAATGTAGTAATATTTTTGATTTTAATTGAATAAGAGGACATATTTTTTATCATAATAAACTCGGTTATTTCTGGTTAATGATACTGATTTTGTTACTTCACAAAAACATTTTAATGCGATTAACAAAATATAGTAATAATATTCCAAATTTCTACCATTCAAATACCTTTCTAAATTTTACCTAATTCAAATTGCATAAAAGTAATTTTTGTGGAAACATTAATTATTATCATTTTACTAATACTTAGATAATGTTCATTATTGTCAACTATAATCAAAAAAAAAATTTTACTTAACCCTAATTTGTTCTACAATTTAATTTTTACATCAATATTTAATATATATTAGCTAAAACATAAAATCATTTTAGTTTAAAATAATTTAATAAATTCAGTTTAACAGTCATATATGAAAATCCATATGAATTTTAATTCGTAATTAATGACATTAATGAACCAGTTAATAATTTAATACTTTATTATAAAATCACGCATTAGTTTTTATACTTTTACTATTGATTTAAGTATTTTAATTGCTTTTAAAGTATTTAAACATCATAACTAAATATGACAAAATAATATCTTAAAAATGTATAAAATATAACTGTATTTATTAATTATGAAATAATATAACTTTTTTTCTTTAATATAGAAAAAAAAATTATATTATGGAATACCTTAATTCTCAAGGAAACATTAATTTTATCTGTTTTTTATGTTACCCTTAAAAAATTAACTTTTTTCAACTTTAACTCATATTTTTGTTTAATTTAACTCAGCATAGTAACTCTAAACTGCAATAATATCTATTAATTAAGCGAACCTTATATATAGTTTACAAACCGTAAATATTTGCAACTTATTATAATAAATTTACTTTTTACTAAATAAAAAATTATGAGCAGTAAACATAAAAAAAAGTTAGATAGTTTATATATATACGTAAATTTATATAAATTTTAAATGTATTTGTTTTTTTTTAATATACTTTCAAGTTATGATTGATAACTGTACATCAGTTATTAACCAGATATTTTATTGTAATTGTATTATTTTGTACAGTTTTATATTTAATTATATTTTAAATTAAAAAATAACAATGTATAATTATGTTAAATTATTTTAATATTACTTCAATTTGATTTAGACTTTTTCAATTTTTTGAAATTAATGTATTTTTTCTTATTTATTTAAGTTTCTTTATTATAAAGACTTATTTAAAGTAATTAATCAAAAAAAAGTATTTTAGTGTTAATCTGGATATGAATGTGACTTGACTAAATTTTAAAGGTCACTATAATTAAAACTAATAAGAACTACCTTCTTATGGCTATATTAAACGTAGCCTTAACGTAGAACATAGTATTTACATTAATTTTATATAAGGAGTTCTTAGAAAGACTGAAACTCATGACCTAAAACATTTTGACTTTAGGTTACCACTATAAATCAGAAATTTAGATTTTAAAATCCTTTAACAATGTAAATTATAACCTTCAATTATATTTATTTATTTCTTCCTTCCTTCCCTAATTTTAATATACTTTTTATAACTGCATTAATTGCATAAAAATAAAACAAAACGGGCTTTTTAACACGCTTATATTAGTTTCACATCAATGTTTGTTGTGTGTACTCTCCACGCGCCACGTGTTATTATTCTCGCCTATCCCGTCGTCTATGGCCTTGAGACTAGACTGTCGTAACGCATTCACCCCACCCCACCACCACTCGACGATAACAATATTTTCCTGTATAATTTTATTTTTGGTTTTCGAACCCGTACACGCGTGCGTGTCATCAATTAAATATATATATATACAGAGTATTAGAAAATGCTTTGTCACGAGTAGTAAGGTGATATTCAGTAGGATCTAAAAATAGCGAAATCAAAAACTAAAATTTCCTATCTCCAAAATTGGGAGTTTTCCGGTTCCTCCACTTTAAATTTTATTTTGATCAAAAATAAACATCACTACGGTATTTTCCGAGAAATTCTCATATAAATTGAGTGGTCACTCGATTTTTTGTAACTTTCGTGCCCTCTCCTGAACTTTGGGTTAAAAATTGAAAAAAATGTCACTTTAGTGTGACTCATCAATTAATATTGAAATTTTACTGGAAGTGTGATGAAGTTTATTTTTAGTTTAAACGATAACATAACGAGAAAAAATAGAAAAACCCACAGATAATGTGATATTTTTTTAATTTCACGAGTTTATTTCGTCTTTTATTAATTATTCAAAACGATTATAATTTTTATCATTAAAACTATTATAAAATTATAATTTTTTTTCTTTTTAGGTCGGGAAAATAAAACAATCACAAGATTGAAATGGATATTTTAAACTTTATTACAAAAGGATAATGAGAAATAATTATTTTAATGTAATTGGCACACTACTCTTTCCCGAAATTAATCACTAATGAGAATATGGTACATCACTGAGCTTGTTAATATTTATTTAAATGTTCGAAAAATACTGTTTACTATTGAATAATCACTAATTAAGTTGCAAAAATTATTAGATAACTTTTAAAATATAGCTTCTTTTTTATGCAACAAAAATGCATAAATTGCAGTAAAAACGAATAACACATAATAAACAAAAACGAAAAATAACTACAAAAAAAAGGTAGCACAGTAGAGTCGCGGCACAGTATGGACTATTAACCAACAACAATCAAGATAATCTTTAGAGGATTTCAATATATTTTTATCGTAAAAAAGAACTTTTTTTTCTTTGTTCATAAGGTAATTTTGCGGTGTCTTGTGTGAGGCATACAAAGCAGCGGGGTTCTGAGGAGGAGAATATAGTACAATTATATAATTAAAATAAAATAATATGCAAATTACTATGAAACTCCATTTTCAGTAAATATATAGCTAAATTTATTTATGTTAACAAAAAACCCAGCACAGTGGGGATGAGGCATAGTTGGGCCAGAATAGATTTAATCTGACAGTGATTAAAATCACAAGAAACGCTTCGATGCAAATCTATAGATAGTGTTAATGTTAAGAGGTTGGTAGATTATTTCAAAAGCAACCATAACTCTTATTTCCTTAATTTTATCCCGATTTATAATTATAATATATGAATACATAATAATTATAGTAATTAAATTTAGTATGAAATTGATATTCAATAATATAATATTGTAATTTTTACGGAGATATTATAAAGATAAAAAGAGGTTGTATAATCATATACATTTAAGGCGTATAAAAATTTAAAGAGATTGATGCAATACTTTTTAATAAAAAATTTTTGTTACTTATGAATAAATACACTAGACTAAAAGGAACTTTCATCAAAAACAAATATATACTTTTGTAAATCAACTTTTCGCGATGTTTTCAAATGTGCCATTAAACTTTTTCTATTACTTCTAAGTGTTAATATTATTACTTATTATTAAAAAATAAGTATTTGTATATAAAAAAAAAACCCAGCACAGGGGGGTCACGGCACAGTTAAACGTGGCATAGTTGGATCAAGTATAATAATATCTGACAGTGATTAAAATCACTATAAAAAAAAAACGCTTCGATGCAAATCTTTAGATAGTGTTTAATTTTAAAAAATTGGCGGATTATTCCAAAAACTACATGATCTGCTAGTTCCTTATTAATATAAAGTATGTCGAATGAAAAAGGGATTATTAAAAAATATTATTTCTCATAAAAAAATTGTGTTGATCCATACACTTTTCAAAAATTTATAACGTTATAAAGTTAAAAATGTAAAATACAAAATCGAAAATTTTCACACAATAATAGCATTTGGTAGCCATTTTCATCATGAAGATAAAATAAAGTCCGAAATTTTTTTTTTCCATAATAAAGTACATTACATTAGCTTTAATTTAAGATATATATCAAAGTATCAGTTTCCAGAACACTTTCAAAAGTTAAGTTGAAAAAGTTAATTTTTTGTAAAATAGTTGAAATTTTCAATCCCCCCCCTGTGGGCAGGTAAAGGGTTAAATTCATAAAAAAATATACAAGATGATAGATAAATATCTCATGAATCTATGAAAAAAGAAAATTGTATTAATCCACATATTTTTCAAAATGTTATGGCAGTTTTAATTAAAAAAAACGGTAGCACAGTGGGGTCGCGGCATAGTAGAGACATTGCATAGTAGGGTCCAGTATAGATTTAATCTGACAGTGATTAAAATCACTATCATAAGAAACGCTTCGATGCAAATCTGTAGATAGTGTTTAATTTTAAAAAATTGATGGATAATTGCAAAAGCAACATCAACTTCTATTAAAATAAAATACAAAACCCATAATTATCATACAAAAATAGTATATTTTTCAATATGGTAGCCATTTGCG